GGCGGGGTGCCCGGGCCCTCGGCAGGCTGTGCCGCCTCCTGTGGGGCTGCTGTAGGACGAGACGAGAAAGCTGAGAGGAGATACGCATTCGACGAAGTTTAATAGAGAGGCTTTCACGGCACAAACTAAAGAATTGAGATATTTTCCATGTTTACAGTAAATAAAAAGGGGGAGAAATGGGCTGAATTGACCTAAATGTTTAAGCCAGCGGTGCAGGAGCAGCACGACCACGGCAGTGGGTTACCAGTGGATTTGAGACTGGGCAGAGGTATAAAATGCGATGGAGGATATAGGGGGGAATGCAGACTGGTCTGGGCTGGGAAAGAGAAGGGAGATAGGGCAGAAGAGAGTGGGGCCGGGGGACAGCGGGGAAAGCGGCCGGCGGTGCTCAGCTGCCGGGGGAGACAGGATCTCCGCGAGGAAGGGCCCCCCTGGAATAACATATTCCTGTTTCTGACGCTGTGGGAGAGTTGGAAATAGTATTTTGAATAATCGGGCACTAAGACATGTCCAGTCACAGGGGAAAACTATGAAAGCTCTTGAAGAAGGCAATAAAACACACTGACCTGAGACAGTGAGATGGTGGGAGCGTAGACGGTGTTGCTGGGAAAGCAGTTATGAAGTCTTGAGGAAGTTGAAATAATGCCATTTGTGATTAAAAGTCAGTTAAATACTCTCAGTTGTATACTTGCAACACCGTACTTTTCCGAAGAGTATCACAAACCCAAACCTGGCAAGTCAGGACCACCCCTGTGAGAAATGCTCGCTCATGGATAAAAATATAGAGAGGACAAAGTCTTAGAAGCAAAGATAAAAGTTTATTCAGGATCAAAATAAATGAGCCAGCTGACTCAGGTGCCTCTCCAAAAGAGCACTTGGCTACAAAACTTAAGGTATTTATGTCCTGTCCCCTTTTCCCACTGGTTAGGTACTTTAGGGCGCACATTCTCTCATGACCCGTTAGCCTATCACAAACTCGATTCACACTTTTCTCCTTTTAAGGAGTTGTTTTTCTAAGTTACACAGCTCTGCTTGTGCCGTCGACACACAAAATGGCTGCTCATAGCCCTGCTTGTGTCGTCGACATACAAAATGGCTGAAGCAAAACAATTCCATCTCTCACACCCCCGAAACCCGTCCATCGTACACATGAGGGTTCCACGCACGAATGCTGGTGTGGTCCCCACACGTTCACTGCTTCTTCGCATTTCTTTTTGTGCTTAATAACTGCACCTCGAACTGACTTACATGCATAGCACATACCTGCGCGTACATGTCTGAGCATCATTGCATATGAATATCAAAATTAATGTAATTTCAAAACACTTCGAATAATTTTTTATTTAGTGTTTAGGCTTAATTTACTGAAAACTTATCTGAAGAAATAAACTTTATATTTAATAACTGAGCCAGCACTTGCTGTAGGCTCCCCCATGAGCGTACAGTAACAGCAGCACAGACGAAACCACGACTTCCGAAAGCAGCAAGTCTTTCGTCTTTCTCGGCCCCACCGCAAACCATGGGGCATTTCAGTGGCGAGGGAGCGTCCTGCTGCTGGGGCTTCAGCATTCCCTCAGGCTTCACTGTTTTAGTGCAAAGTCCTGTTTTTCAAAAGGGATCTCTCAGGGAGTTAGGAGCAATTACATTAAGAGGATTGGACTATTAGGAGAGAGACTTTGAATTAGGCTTTAATTAATTGCAGGGGGAGAAAATGATTGGTCTGTTCCAGGCAGTTTGTGTGGTGGAATGTCACCTTTTGCATCAGCTGGAACATTTACTTCAGGACACGTAGCTTTTTGTGTAAACATTGGTATGTTCAAACACCCCCTTGTTCTGAGTGAAGAATCCTGAATATTTTCATCTCTTGCTTACACGTAGGAAACAGAGTGTAAAATGACTAGATGTTCTGCAGACATAAAAGGAAGACTGATTACCTTGTTTCCTTTATGCCAATTTGGTGAAGCTTGAAATGAAATCAAATGGTAGCTATCACAACAAGCACATCGGTTTCTGTTTAACAACACAGAATAAAAGCAGCAACTGGTGTGGGATTAAAAGAACAGTATACTTTATATAATTTAGCATAATGAAAAATACATTGTTTTGCACCAGAAATGCCATCGTTAACATCAGAACACAGATTATTCTCTCTCTTTCTTTGCACCTGGTTGCTTTTCCCTCCCAGTATCTCCATCCCTGCCATATAGCTGCCTTCCACGGGCACTTTGCGGTATTACATCATTTTACAGTGATCTTAGCAGGTGCACTTTTTATTCAGAGACTTACTTCTTGCTTGCTGTTATCAGTCAAGATAAATGACAGTTCCTCCCCTGGACCTATGGAAAAACAATGTATGGGCTAATCCTGCTTTCAGTTAAGTCAGTGCCGAACTGGCTATAGGAGTAGCTTGACAGAAAGATGAAGTTCCATGAATTCAGAGACTGTGAACGGGATGATGTTTGCCCAGCAAAGCCCTCATGCTCCACACATCTGAATGTGATAAAAGGCTGTTAAAAACCATGTGCTCTTGCACAGTGAGAGCCTCCTCTTGCCCAGCCAACGGACAGAAGTTTGGTTTTGGCACTATTCTCCCTAAATAGAGAATTTTGGGGCAGTTCCCAAAACATATCTCCTCTTTGTAGCTCTGGAAGGGGCAAAATGAAACACCATTCATCTTTCATTTAACAAATCCTCCAGCTTTCCTTAGAAAAAAAATGTAGTGGTTGGGGTCAGATGTCATTCAACTTCTCTTAAATTCCATGGAAAGCTGTTATATTCACTACTTGCAGGTTTCAACCTCTACAAATATCCACTGCATTTTATTTATCATGAGTAATTCTTTGTTGATTGTGACAGTCTTAAAGAGCAGTAGGATTTATGTGATAGTTGGACTTCAGTAGCATAAGATCAAACTCATATGAGCAGCTGTTTTCCTTTAATGGTAGAAGTCTGAATGAGTGTTACCATGATGTGGAGAAAATGCCTTACCCTTTTGCTTACTGGACAGAAATGATTTTGCGTGTGGCATGATTTTGGGAGCCACTGACAACCAGCAAGCTGACCCTCGTTTTCTAAGACGTTCTTCCTGTTTTTTGCTGGATGTGCAAATGGGGACTGCAATGGTTCTGTTCGGTGTTACAGTTTCACTGCATGTTATATACGGTCCGATGTCAGTAGTTTTAAGAAGGTCTTGACATGTACTGATAACAAATATGCAAAACCTTATTGTTTCTTTTTAAACCTTTGGTTCATCAAGGAATATAAATTCTTGCCTGATTTCAAATGTATAGGCTGTTCTGTGACCT